AATGATTTTTTTCAGTTTAATTAGCAAAAATTAATTAGCAAAAAATCTCTTCAAAGAACACTTTTAGACTACTTTCAAATGACTGAGGTACTTTGGGAAGTAGAGCAATTCTCTTACTTGAATGTATGACTGTAATCAAACTAGCATTGCACTGAGGGGAAAAATAAGATGGTAATAAAGATAATGAAGGATGAAGGGGTCGGCGCTGTGGTGCAGCAGGATAACGCCCTGGCCTGAAGCGCCGGCATCCCATATGAGTGCTGGTTCGAGTCCTGGCTGCTCCACGTCCGATCCAGCTCCCTGCTATGACCTATGAAAGCAGTAGAAGATGGTCCCAAGTCCTTGGGCCCCTGCACCCATGTGGGAGACCTGGAAGAAGCTCCTGGCTCCTGGTCGGGTCGACGCGGCTCCAGCGGTTGCAGCCAACTGAGGAGTGAATCATCAGATAGAAGACCTCTCTCTCTTTCTCTCTGCCTCTCCTCTCTCTCTAACTCTGACTTTCCAATAAATAAATCTTTAAAAATAAACAAACAAAAAGATAACGAAGGATGTAGCATATAAACGAAAGTCTGTCTTGACCTCTTCCAAATGAAAACAGGTTTGGCCATTTATCTCTTAACCATCTGTATGTTAAAGTATTTTTAGTGATTTACTAGAAGTAGAGCTTTCAGTGCAGACTGGCTCTTTAAAAAAAAAAAAAAAGATTTATTTATCTGAAAAGCAGTGTTACAGAGAGGCAGAGAGAGAGAGGTCTTCCAGCCACTGGTTCACTCCTCAAATGGCCACAATGCCTGGAGCTGTGCTGATCCAAAGCCAGGAGTTTCTTACAGGTCTCCCACATGGGTTCAGGCATCCAAGGACTTGGACCATCTTCTACTGCTTTCCCAGGCCATAGCAGAAAGCTGGATTGGAAGTACAGCAGCCGGGACTGGAACCTGTGTCCATATAGGTTGCTGGCACGGCATGCTGCAGCTTTACCCACTATGCCATGGCGCCGGCCACCTGGCTCAGCTTTAATTGTTCATGATGGTGCTTTCTAGGGCATAGTGTGAGGACATGGTCCAGTTTGCATGAGCAATCACAGGTTACAGGTGTTGTCCCCACTTAAGTATTAGTAGTGCTCCCTCCCCTGTACATCCAGATGCTCTAGCTGGTCTAGATGAAAACAACAATAATCCTTTGCTGGACTCTGGCGCCCTCTTATGATTAGAGGCTGAAAAGTCTTGATGGAAACCAAGGAGCGCCCTGGGCCATTTCACATTCTGATACTGCATATTCTGAAGAGAGAAACCACCACAAAGTAGGAGCTTACCAAACGGATCATCTAACATCTCAGTTTTGTACTTTCATATCAAGAGAGTGTATCACCGACGACCCCTCGTGGTGCTGCCATCTTCAAATCTAGGGCCCCTTCCCCCTCCCTCAGTGCTCTCAGCTCCTGGGCCACCACCACCACACTCCCTCACATTACTTCTGTCCTCATGCTTGGTGACTTCGGCATACACATAGATAACCCTCCCAGGGTGCTGGCCTCTGGCTACTTCAGACTCTTCTCCAAGGAGCTTGTTCTCCACCATGCCTCGGCTATGCACTCCCAGGCATTCCACAGACATTACTATCAATCTTGTTTAGTACATCTCACTCACCAACTACCATGTTTTGTCTCTCCACTTAACTCTCTCTACCCTCCCAGCTCCTGCAGCCCACTGTAGTCCAGTATTTCACTGTGCCTCATGCCCACTGTCTCCATGTTGTGATGGATTCCATACTTGCTGAAATTCCATGACCACTCAATACCATTGTACCCTTCCAGACACCTTCAATGTCCTTGCTCCTCTTTTGCTTGGCAAAACCACAAACCCAAGTTACATTCATGTCTCCTCCACTGTTTGCCTACACCCCTGCACCTGGATGTAGTAGAGAAAAACACATAGGAATAATCAATCTGATTTCAAATTCGTGATCAAGAATCCCAGTGCCAGGGTCTTCAAGGGTGCCAAGTAACTCATACTGAATGTCCCTAGTCCAGTCATTCTTCTATTTTCCTATTACAATTTCACCACCTTTTCTCCTTTCTCTCCTGTAGTCATTTTCAGCTGATAACCAAATGCCCTAATAACCATATGCCCTATTTTACTGAACTAGAGCAAGCAAAGGAAAGTTCTAGATCCCCGTCACCATGTCTGTCCAAATACCAGACCTCTCTGCCTCCCCTTCCATGTCTCTAACCTGTAGGAACTCTGGTTCCTGTCTAAGGCCTAAGACATTGTCTTTGCTTTGCATTAAATTCCATCCTCACTTTCCCAACTCACTGACAGCCATTTTCCCCTTTCTCTTCTATATCCTCTGTACCAGCCCATTCCCATGCTGTTATTTGTTTATTCCATCTCTAAGAACATTTCTCCTGCTCCCATGTCTCCTGCCAATTACTGCTGTGTCCTCTTTTACAACAAACCTCTTCAAAAGAATTCCTCTGTACTCACTCCTCCAGCCCCTCCCCAATTCTCTTTCAAACTCAGTCCAATCAGAATGAGGAGCCAGAGTGATACATGATGGCATTAGGCCCCCTGGGTTTTAGAGTGGTTTGCTACAGTACAAATAAGTGGCAGAGCACCTCAGAGAGTGCAGTGCAGGCCTTCTCTAGGAAGAAGAGAGCCCCTATCCTCAAAGAGTTGTGCACTTTTGCCTCCTTGTTTCAGCAAAAGAGGAGTTAAGGGTACAGATTGCAAGCATGTTAGACCAATGGAAATCAGATGTTTTAACTGAGCCAAAGTCACTGATAATGATTGGGGTACACTCCCAGAATTTGAAATTTAGCATGTTGGTGGGAGTCCTGGGGTGGTGCTAATGATATGCAAGGTTGGCTAATGAAAGCTGGGATTCATTAATAGTCTAGAGTTAATGGGGCTGAAATGCCAGGAATTCCCTAACACACTCTTCAGGGAAATAGAACTGGTCCACTATGTTCTACCTCCTCAGCCACTCACTAACTTGACGCTTGTGGGAAGAGCTATTAAGAGAGAATAGAAAATGCATCAGGGAGGCAGGCTCTTCCTGAAGAGCCCTGAGGTCAGAAACAGTGGAGGACAAGACAACAGCAGAAATGCATGCACTTAGCCCAGTGGGAATAAGGGAATTCAAGCATGTTCAAGGCCAAGTGGGAGTGTGTCAGTGTCAGGGACAATGTGGTCCACTTTCCCAAGTCACAGAGATGGAGCAGTAATCAGACTGCTCAACCTGCTGTGCCCTGTGGCAAGGAGCTTCCAAGAAATCAGAAATCAGAAACTGACTGCTTCCTATGACGCTGCTTGACATAGGGAGGCAGGAAATAAAATCTAGGTCTGCTAGGGCAGAAACCCAATCCAAATTACCAGTGTGCCTTCTACTTAATAACCCACAACTGAGTCAGTTCAGAGTCTGAGAGTCCCTGATGCCCCTGACAAAAGTTCTTGCAATATAGCAGTAGGTGTATTCCAGGGATCTTCCACTAAGCCAGTGCACTACGGACATTCTGGGCTGGGCATTTCCTTGTTGTGGGGGCCATCCTGGGTATGATGGGAGGTTTAGCAGCATCTCTGGTCTCTATATCCTGGATGCCAGAAGCATTTCCATTCTCTAATTGTGACAAATATTTTCCAAATATTCCCAGGTAGTAAGATTACCAGATTTGGCAACTAAAAATACTGACTAAATTGGAATTTTGGTTTCAAACTATTGGATGGGCCATACTTATATCCAAGATTATTATTCTATACATGTATCAAAGCATCACATAATATCCTATAAATATGTACAATTTTAATATATTTACATATTTTTATTTCATTTAAAATATTTGGGTTTTTTGGTCTTAAAATTTAACTGGGCACTTGTATGATGTATTCAGAGTGGCAAGTTATGGAAATGAGCAGACAGATGGAGTCTTGGTCTGACTTAGGCTGACAGTTGCCCCCCACAGGGAGCACCAGCTGTTATGGTAGGAAGCATCAAATGCAATCTCCCAACCTACCCTCTCACTCCTGCCTTTTTGCTACCAAGATAAGAACCCAGAGATAATACAGGCTGAGCATTCCTAATACAAAAATTTGAAATCCAAAATACTCCAAAACCCAAAACTTTTTGAGCATTGATTTGATGCCACAAGTGGAAAATTCCATACCTGACCATATGGGCTGAGTTGCAGTTAAAACACATATGCTCTAAAAATATTGTATAAAATTGCCATCCGGCTATGTGTATAAGGTGTATATTGAAATGTAAATTAATTTCATGTTTAGAGGTGGGTACCAAGGTATACCCTAAGATATTTCATTGTGTATAAACAAATATTTCAAAATGTGATCAAAAATTCAAAACCTAAAACACTTCCAGTACCAAACATTTCAGATGAGGGTTACTCAATCTGCACCACTTTCCCAGGAGAATTGTAGATTTAATACCACCACAGGGACTTCTGGGATACAGGGGCAGTAATTCAACTGATATTCCAATTTAATTCATCTAGTTGGCTGGTATGACAGTCAGATGGGTCACACAGAAGGGCATTACATTACTCTAATCCTAACCAATTGGTGATGCCAATCTCAGTGGTGGTTCAAGATGAGGTATCTTGGGGACTGGTGTTGTGGTGCAGTGGGTTAAGCCAATGCTTGTGATGCTGGTATCTCATACTGGAGGGTTAGTTTATGTCCTGGCTGCATTGCTTCTGATCCAGCTCCCTGATAATGCACCTGGGAAGGCAGTGGAAGATGACCCAACTGCTCCCCATGTGAGAGACCTGGATGAAGTTCCTGGCTCCTGGCTTTGGCCTGGCCCAGCTCTCTCTGTTGCAACCATTTGGGGAGTGAATCAGCAGATGGAAAAATCTCTGTGTCTCTTCCCCTTCTCTGTTACTCTGCATTTAAATAAATAAATAATCTGTTTAAAAGATCTTAGTATCTCAGTATCTTACAAGAGAAAATTGATATAGCACCTGGTACCTTATAAGCAGATATTCAAGGAGAGAGGCGCCTTTCTCTGAAGGGAGGAAGGAACCTCCACTGTGATATGGCCTTGACTAAACAAGTTCAGAGTCGGTGAACTCAAGGGGCTTCCATAGCCTAGACAGCTCATAGCAAGAGTCTTGGGTGATTGCTGACGTCATAAATAAGAGTGCCAATTGTTAAATCAACAACGGGAGTCACTGGGTACATGCTCCCCACGTAGGATCTCTGTCCTTAATGTGTTTTACTATGAAACTTAAAAACAACACTACTAGTTGAACAATACCCTATACCTTGTGTGGTTGTGTGAGTACAGCCTGTTGAAATCCTTACTTAGTATATACTAAGTTGATCTTCAGTATATGAAGGTAATTGAAAATGAAACTCGATGAAGGGCAGGATGGGAGAGGGAGTGGAAAAGGGGAGGGCCACGGGAGGGAGGGAGGTGGGGGGGGCACAACAATACAAAAGTTGCACTTTGTAAATTCACATTTATTAAATAAAAAAAACTATATAACAAACAAAAAAAAGAAAAAGAAAAAAAAGAACTTAATACTTTACCCTTTTAGTATTTTTTATGTTCTACTTAAAACTATTGGTTGAACTCTGTAATTAATACACAATCACTCTTAGGTGTTTAATTAATGCTATAAAACTAGTACTCAAATAGTATTTTACACTTTGTGTTTCTGTGTGGGTGCAAACTGTTGAAATAGTTACTTAATATATGCTAAATTGATCTTCTGTATATGAAGATAATTGAAAATTAATCTTGATGTGAATGGAGGGGGTGAGGGAGTGGGGGAGGGGAGTGTTGTGGGTGGGAGGGAAGTTATGCGGGGGGGAAGCTATTGTAATCCATAAGCTGTACTTTGGAAATTTATGTTCATTAAATAAAATTTAAAAAGCAGATATTTACCTATCAAATAAGTGTTTCCTTTCTTATCGATTAGGAAAACTGAAACAGCTTGCATTTACCTGGCAAGAACAATAACATACATTCATGTTCACCTATATACCTACGGCAGCTCTGGCATCCCATATGGGCACGGATTTGAATCTTGCCTGCTTCACTTCTGATCCAACTCTCTGCTACAGCCTGGGAAAGCAGTAGAGGCTGGCCCAAGTGCTTGGGCCCCTGCACCCACATGGAAGACCTGGAAGAAGCTCCTGGCTTCGGATTGGATCATCTCTGGACATTGCCGCCATTGGGGAAATGAACCAGTGGATGAAAAACCTCTCTCTGTTAACTCTGTCTTTCAAATAAGTGAAATATTTCTTTAAAGAAAGTACAAAGTAGAAAACTCTTCACTTACATGTATGAGTGCCAAAAGGTGGGAGTTAAACCTCTTTTTTTTATATAAATTATTACTTTTTTGGAAGATTTATTTATTTATTTGAAAGGTGGTTTACAGAGAAAAAGAAGGAGAGACAGACACAGACTGATTCACTCACCAAATGGCTGCAGTAGCTGGAGCTGTGCCAGGGGCTTCATCTGGGTTTCCCATGCAGGGCAGGGGCCCATGTACTTGTGTCATCTTCCACTGCCTTCCCGGTGCATTAGCAGGGAAGTAGATCGAAAGCAGAACAGTTGATTCTCAAACAAGCACCCATATGGGATGCCAGCATCACAGGTGGCAACTTGCTCACTGCGCCACAACGCTGGCCCGAGGATATCCCTTTTTAAAAGCAAGTTTATTTATTTGAAAGGAAGAGTGAGTGAGAGAGAGAGAGCGAGATTTTCTATCTGCTGGTTCACTCCCCAAATGCCTGCAATAGCCAGGGCTGGGCTAGGCTGAAACCAGGAGCCAGGAACTCCATCTGGGTCTCCCATGTGGGTGACAGGGACCTAGTTATTGAGCCATCATCTGCTGCCTGCCAATGTGTGTGCATGGACATTTAGGAATGGACAGTGTGAAAGTTTTGTGCCATGTGTATGTTCAACAGCAGGTGTCGTTGGTGGTAGAGAGTTTTAAACTCTAGGCCGGCGCCGTGGCTCACTAGGCTAATCCTCCGCCTAGCAGCGCCGGCACACCGGGTTCTAGTCCCGGTCGGGGCGCCGGATTCTGTCCCAGTTGCCCCTCTTCCAGGCCAGCTCTCTGCTGTGGCCAGGGAGTGCAGTGGAGGATGGCCCAAGTGCTTGGGCCCTGCACCCCATGGGAGACCAGGAGAAGCACCTGGCTCCTGCCTTCGGATAAGCACGGTGCGCCGGCGGCAGCGCGCCTGCCGCGTCGGCCATTGGAAGGTGAACCAACGGCAAAGGAAGACCTTTCTCTCTGTCTCTCTCTCTCTCACTGTCCACTCTGCCTGTCAAAAATAAATAAATAAATAAATAAACAAACAAACAAACTCTGATGGTCAAGAGAATCTATTTTGTGAGTGAGTGTGAGCAAGCCTCTGCAGGGCATCTCAGGACTTGCCCAACAGGTGCATGTCCAAAGTGGCTATGGCTGCATGGGAGGAAGGCATGTGTGGCCTAAAACATGGTCTTCACCTCACCATGGCCACTCTGCCTGTACTGCTGAGTACCCAATCATCCAGTAGCAGAAGCTGATACTAAGCCACGAATGTGGCCCCGCTGTGTAGACTGAGCAGGTGGCACTGGTAGTGGTAGATCTTGTGCACCCTTCCCTGTCCGCTCAGGGATGGCTACAGATTCAGGCTACCAGTCTGCATTCCCTGGCCGCAGAGCCTCTGCCCTTTATTACCACAGAGTTACAGAGCACGGCCTCTGACCATGGGCATGTGTTAAGGCAAAAGAGATCAGGAAAACGATCTCATGCTCTCAAATTCACTACATGCCTGCCCTTTGAGAAGCAGTTGATACAAGCTTGAACAGGCCTTTCGATGGCATGATTACAATGCGAGTGGGAGTATCTGTACAGTTAGGACATTGTCCATAGGATGGGGTAGATGCCTTGAACCTGCGGCCAATATTGCACATCACTGGGATGTGTGCACATGGGAACCATGAGGAGGAATGGAGCCTGTGGCTACGCTGGGCTCCTGGGTGTTTCCCTGGCATGCCAGAGATACACATGCCCCTCTTCCTCTACCTGAAGTACTCTCCTCCCAGATTGTCTCTTGGTGCCCTCACAGAGTGTCTTCAAATATTTGTTCAGATATTCCACTTTGACTATGGCCTTGTCTAAATAAGATCAGAGTTGGCGAACTCAAGGGGCTTCCACAGCCTTGGCAGCTCATGACAAGAGCCTCGAGTGATTACTGACATCATAAATAAGAATGTCAATTGTTAAATCAACAATAGGAGTCACTGTGCACTTACTCTCCATTTAGGATCTCTGTCCTTAATGTGTTGTACTATCTGAATTAACAATATAACTAGTACTCAAACAGTACTTTATACTTTGTGTGTCTGTGTGGGTGCAAACTGTTGAAATCCTTACTTGGTATATACTGAATTGATCTTCTGTATATAAAGATAACTAAAAATTAATCTTGATGGGAATGTGATGGGAGAGGGAGTGGGCGATGGGATCATTGTGGCTGGGAGGGAGGTTATGGGGGCGAAAAGCCGCTATAATCCGAAAGTTGTACTTTGGAAATTTATATTTATTAAATGAAAATTTAAAAAAATATTTGAAAAAATAGGTGAGATTGTATAAGAGATGGATTGTATTAATAGAATTAACTGTAAAACTTTAAAAAACTTGTTCAAATGTCAGATTTTTTTACAACTTATTTATTTTTATTTTTAAAGATTTATCCTATTTATTTGAAAGGCAGAATTACAAAGAAAGAAGGAGACACACACCCACAGAGAGACAGACTCTTCATTAGCTGGTTCACTCCTTAAGTGGCTGCAACAGCCAGGGCTGGGCCAGACTGAAACCAGGAGCCAGGAGCTTCTCCCAGGTCTCCCATGTGGGTGCAGAGGCCCAAGCACTTGGGCTATCTTCCACTGCTTTCCCAGGCCATAGTAGAGACCTGGATAGGAAGTGGAGCAGCCAGCACTTGAACATGCACCCACATGGTGCCACAGGTGATAGCTTTACTCACTAAGCCATGGCGCTGGCCGCTACAATTTATTGAGAGACAGGGAAACAGACTGTAGAGAGAGGATTAGAGAGAGAGAGAGAGAGAGAGAGAGAGAGAAGGAGAGAGAACACACATGAGATCCCATTTGCTGGTTCATTCCCCTGATACCCACAATGTCCTGTGCTAGGCCAGACCAAAGTTGGGAGCCCAAAACTCAATCCAGATCTCTTCTGTGGATGGCAAAGTTCTGATTACTTGAGCCTTTATCACTGCCGCTGGGAATCCACACTAACAGGAAGCTGGAACTGGCAGCTGGAGCCAAGAATTGAATCTAGATACCACAATATGGTACACTGGCATCCTGCCCTGTGTTTAACTGCTAGGCCAAAGGCTTGCCCCCAGGTGTTGCCTTTTTAACAAGGCCTATTCTGTCCACTCTTAATAAAAATAGTAAACTTCCCTGTGTCTTCCTGATCACCCTGACCTTACTCCATGTTCTCTGTGACCCTTTTCACCCTCTAACATATTATGCCATTTGTCACTTGGCCCTCTTTTCTGGTGGTAAGCTTTGTAAAAGCAGCAGTTTCTCTTTTATTCACTGTTCTACCCCCTGCACCCAACACAGTGCCTTAAACACAGCAGGGTATCGATGCATATTTCTTGATATACTTACATGGATGTTGTGAAAATTCTTGGAGAAGAGTGCACAAGTCTTAAATCTACTACCTTTACCTACATCATGAGTTGGTTGGAAAAGGTTTTCTATAGAAGGCCACAGAGTAAATACTTCAGGGACAGGGATTTGGCCAAATGGTTAAGCTTCCGCTTGGGACACCTGCATCTCATGTCAGATTGCCTGGGTTCCGGTCCTGGCGCTACTTCCAATTCCACCCTCCTACTAATGTGCACCCTGGGAGGTAGCAGATGACGGCTCAAGTACGTGAGTCCCTGCCACCCACTTGGGAGACCCAGATGGAGTTCCCCACTCCTGAATTTGATCTGGCCCAACTCTGGCTTTTGTGGACGTTTGGGGAATAAACTAGTAGGTGGAAGAGCTCTCTCTGCCTCTTTGTCTCAGATCTCTCTCTCTCAAATAAATACTATGAAAAATAACCAACTAAATAAACCGAGGTTTGTGGGTCATGGAGCCTCTGTCCCAGCCACTCCAGTCTAGCCTTGTACCTTGACAGCATCCACTGGCAGGGGGAAGTGGCTGGGAGATACACAGAAAGGGAACGAGATTGTCGAAAGCCTGGGAATTAGGAGCCTGTGTGAGAGCTGAGAAAGTTTGTGAGGGGAAGCATTTTGCACAAATATGCTTGGTACATTTTTCTTCACATTCTCTCTCTTCACTATCCCAACCAGTACTGCAGGATTCTTGAATAGTGCAACGCTGTCACAGAGTGCGTTTACAACCATGACCTCCAGGTGGAGCCCTTTCTTAGTCTCAGTAGCTCATTTCTTCAATTTATTTATTTATTTTATTTTATTTGAAAGGCAGAGACTGCTGTGGCCTGGGAAAGCAGTAGAAGATGGCCCAAGTCTTTGGGTCACTCTACCCCTGTGGGAGACCCAGAAGAAGCTCCTGGCACTGGCTTCAGATTGGCGCAGCTCCGGCCATTGCAGCCAATTGGGGAGTGAACTATGTGATGGAAGACCTCTCTCTCTCTCTGCCTCTCCTCTCGCATTCTGTGAGTTGTCTTTTAATACTCTTGAAATATCTTCCGATGCATGAAATGTTATATTTTTATAACTCCAATTTATCTAGCTTTTCTTTGTCACTTATGCTTTTGGTGTCACATACAAGAATCATTACTAAATCCAGTATCATGAAACTTTTCCCTTTTTTTTTTTGTAAAGATATATTTTTGTATTTGAAAGGCAGAGTTACAGAGAGGCAGAGAGAGAGACTTCCATCTGCTGGTTCACTCCCCAAATGGCCACAATGGCTGGAGCTAGGTCAGAACAAAGCCAGGAGCCAAGAGCCTCCTCTGGGACTCCCACACAGGCACAGGGCCCAAGGACTTGGGCCATCTTCTACTGCTTTCCCAGGCCATAACAGAGAGCTGGATCAGAAGTGGAGCAGCTGGGACTGAAACCAGTGCCCATATGGGATGCCGGCACGGCAGACGGCGGCTTTACCTGCTACGTCACAGCGCTGGCTGCTTACTGTGTTCCCAGTCACATAGCTGGAAGCTGGGTTGGAAAGAGAGTAGCTGAGAATTCCAGCATCACAACTGGCAGCTTTACCTGTTGCACCACAATGCCGGCCCCTAATGTAAAGTTGTTGAGAGTGGAATGACTTTTAAAAATTGTCGAGTAATTTTTATTTACCAGTACAAAGCATTATTAATAATTGTATATATTTATGGGGTACAGTGTGACACTGCAATGCATGTTTGCAATGTGCTCTGATGAGGGGAGAGTTTTAAATCAGCGTTAAAAATGAGTTCAAAGGACTACAGCAGGGGTTGGCAAACTTTTCCTGTAAAAGGCCACCCATGTGGGAGACTGAGGTGGAATTCCTGGCTTTTGGCCCAGCATTGGACATTACAGCCATTTGGGGAGTAAACCAACAGGTGGAAGATCTTCTCTATCTTTCTCTCTCCATAACTCTGCCTTTCAAATAAATAAGACAGTTTTAAACAGAAGGTGATAAATGCTATTTAGAAAGAGAAAGATACAATGGAGCAAAGCAAGGGGCAAGTAGAGTTCGCCTACTTGAATCTTCCTGGTGAATGTGTCACAACACCCAAACAACTGGAGCATGGACCACCTATACTTACATTCAGACACAAAATGAGAAGAACATAGTCTCATAATAACGCTGTTGTCATTTTTGAGGTTAAACTCAACACTGCTTTATATGGCAGTTGAATTTTCCCAGTCCATGTATTTAAAAACTTTTGCAGAATCACATTAGATTAAATAGTAGTTGTTAGCAGAGATGAATGAGAATCTATTGTAGTTATCATTGAGCTCTTCCTAATAATTGCAGTTACGACAGAAAGAGGATAGAGGTAAAGAGATAAAGAGGTAGCTCTTATTGAGTATTAAGTAGCTATCTGTTGATAGATGCCTTGAGTATTTCTTTCATGTCCTCCCCATACTGTAAAGATGACCATGGTCAAGGCTGTTACTTCGTTTCTCTACCTGCTTTCTAAGTGCTGACATGGTGGCAAGTGCAGGGCCAGATGAGGTCAGAGGGAGATGACCGGACAGTCAGAGGCCACTTCCTTCCCTTCTGAGCTCATATGGAGGCTGTCACGAGGCTCCTCACTTCAGTGTTGCTCTTCTGTGTGTTTGGTTCTCACTTTCATGGTCTAACATCTACAAAATGGGAATTTGACCCCAAAAATCCTCAGCCCAGTTTTGATGATACAGTGTCACCAGAACGAATGTCAAATAATGGAGGTTAGAGATGGTAAGCACTTCTTGAGTACCTGTTAAGGATAAGGCTTTGTGAAAGAGAGAAAAAAGTACCCCAGAAGCCAGTCTCTTTGATGCTAATGAGGTGTTAACTAATGAATGGATGAGTAAGAGACTCAGTCCCATATTTGTACAGTACAAAATATATATCCCACTTTTCAACGAGATCATACATGTTTTGAACACATGGTTTATATTTCTTTGTTCTTTGTGCCGTGCAGTAGAATGACTTGCAGTGAATAGAAGTCCTTAGAAGGCTTGTTTGTTGAACTTTAATGTGTAAAAAATTATAAAGCATTTTGAGCAGTATGAGTATCAAAATATCTGAGGGAAAACTCAAGAGGAAGTAATCCTTTTGGAGTGAGAGACCTTGGGAAGCCTTAGACCTTTTATGGACCCAAATTCTACAAGTATGGAGTTACCGGCTGTGATAAAAATGTTTTGCCACTAGTAGGGGTGACTGGGAGGAGTAGTTTCTCTACATTATACTGCAGGACAGAATAGAAGAATGTTTAAGAATGTGTTCCTAGCACCTCCATGTGTTGCTCTTGCTGCTATTGTTTTAATTGTTCTTATTGCCACGCAGGTTATTGGTTGAATTCCCAGCAACAGGCGGCGTGGTTCCATCGTGGCAGTTTCAGCCTGTAAAACTGATCCGCTATGTCAGCACTTTTGATTTCTTCCTGGCAGCCTGTGAGATCATCTTTTGTTTCTTTATCCTTTACTATGTGGTGGAAGAGATACTGGAGATTCGCATTCACAAGCTACACTATTTCAGGAGTTTCTGGAATTGTCTGGATGTTGTGATCATTGTGGTAGGTTTGAGGGCAACTCCAAATTCCCCTCTCTGTTCTAAACACATGTGAATGACAGTCTCTGATCGCTGCAGCCTTGTGTGTCTTGATATTCCCAAAAGAGAATCTCAGACTTCCCCTCAGTAGACCAGCTATGTGGTGTTACTAATTATTTATTCACTTTGCCTAAATAGTCTTTCTAGACATAGAAGTGGAGCAGCATTTCCTGTACGTGTGCAGCCACATTCATATTGAGAGTAACTCAATAATTCATGTTTGGCTTTGGCATGCTATGTGAGGTGTAGAGGAGAAAACAATGTTTTATCTTGTTTATTTTGCTCTTTTGCTAGTGCTGTTTTTTCTTCAACTGCTAGTAAATTTATGTTTTTCTGCACTTGTGTAAAGTTGTGGCAAGAAGAAACATGCTAAAAATACCTTGAGTGGCAGAAAAAACTTCCTGCAGCTTAAGATTTCTTGTAAAGAATTCAGAGTATAAAATTGGAGTTGTGTCCGTGTAGGTTTTCAGTATGAGGTACAGGAAATCATCTGGCAGAGTCATGAGATAGTTAAGACTGCAGCACCTGGTAGATGCTGTGCCTACCCTGAACACTATTATAGCTCCTGTTTTCCACTCATCTTATTCATTAGTTAATTAAGCATCATCTCAGTCACTTCTGGAGGCCTCCATATAAAAATGAATTTGTACAAATCTTTCTCCCTTTAGCAATAGCAACTCACCTTTGGCTAAGCCCTGCCGTACATTTAAGCATACAACACCACACTCAATTGTTATGTGCTTAAAAGTGCTGTGTGACATTGATGGATCATGTGTTATTCTATGTGACTCCTTCCCACTATCCTATGAGACATGGTCTTTCAAAAATCTCAACAATGACGCCTTATCCTATTAGCATTCTGTCTTTCCTTACCTTCTTCATGAAAAAAAATTCTTCCTGTCTCTCTGTCCCTAAAAATCAGTTTGTGTTTTGTGAAGCATTGGCTTCAAGTCTTTATCCAATCATTTCCTACTAGAATTGACAAAATACAGAAAAGAACTACCAGGACACCTGTTGTGTGGCAGTAACAATGCTACCACTGATAACAACAACAATAGTAATAGCTAACACTTTAGAAGCTACTATGTGTTAGTCACAGCCCCAAGTGCTTTGCATATACAGAAGCCCATGTCAGAAGACATTGACCCTCTTAATCATTCTGCCACTGCCTCTCAAACCATGTACATGTGTTCTCCAGAAAGAGCTTCTACTCAGAGAAGTACCTGTGGAACCCATCAGACCATGACACTTTCAGACTTGCCATTTAACACGATGGCACAACATCAAGGCAGCTCCTTGATTTTCAAATGTTTAATGTTTCAAGGAGCAGAGTTACAAAATAATTTCAGTATTTAAAGAGGTAGGAGAGGCAATAACATTGCACATATTTTTTCAGAATATTTCTGTACTTAGTAATGGCAAAGTACATTTTATGTAACTGAACATTAACCAGAACATAATTTGATTTGGAACTCCGATGGATATAAACTCTACGTTTTTGCTTATGTGATTCACTTATATTGAATTCATTGAGAATAATGATAAAAATATGAGTGTGATATTATGCTAATAACAGGCTTCTTTTTTTGCCAATATTTCAGTACCAACAAAAGACTAATCAGTAGTATTCAGCTCTTTGATCTTGCAACCTATCAGTGAGAACTTTGACTATATAGCCTAATGAATTTATTTATAAACTGTGTGTGTATGTGTTTGCTGTTATAATAGGTAAATCTGTGAGGTTATAGATATACATAAGATTTTAAAGTGTATAAAAATAAGTACTAATAAAATTATAAGTCATTCTAGAGGTTTTAATGCCTTTTTCCCACACCCCAGTGAACTACCTGACACCCTGTTTGGAGACCACAGGGAAACTAGCCGATGATGTCATGAAAATTGAAGATACTTTATTTGGCTCAGCAGCCACAGCATTTTGCAAGCATTACTTGAAAACTTGCTTCACTGTGCTCATTGTTTTGTTTTAACTCTTAGTACTGCCAAAGCAACAATTCAGACAGTGTATGTTTATAAAGAGCAAGGAAGGGCTCACCTACTCACCCCCAAAGCCGGTCCTGTGCCCCAGGGGCCCTTTAAACCTATGATAAGAGCCAAGGCATTTGTCTCAGCTGGTCCACATTTGCTTCCTTCCAGCTGAAACCTGAAAAGAAACTACATTCCAAATGTAAATATTTCATCTTTAAATCCTTTGAGGTTCTGTCCAGTGTCTTCCAATGCTGTGAAGTCTACAGACTTCCATCAATCAGCTTTTTGTCCTCAGCCACAGTCTTTCAAAACTAGTGGAATTAATAGAAGAACACTCTCAGCAACTCTAAACTTAAATAATGCTGTTGATCGCCAACTTCCATAGGATGGAAATGACTCAGCCGTTCACTCGGTGAATGTTGTCTGAGCATCTGCAATGAACTTGGCTCTGATCTAGGCATTGGGAATATAGGAATGCATGAAGTAACCAAAATTCTCGCCCTTAAAAAGCTTATGTCTTGTACAGAGAGAGAGTTCTGTTGTAGCTAGGGGTGAGAATCTCAAAGAAAAATCAGGATTCAACAGCTTGAATGCTCATAACATCTCTTTCCTCTTCTCTTTTCTCTCATTTTCTAGTTGGAGGAAGATTCACAGGGAAATGTAGTGAATTTGTATTAATGCTGTTCCAAATGTTCCATATTTGTATAAAGGTTTGTCCTGCGCAGAGTGAAAACAACCGGACAGGATAACAAATTGTACCTATGAAAGGTGGGCAAAAGGTTGTTACTGGAGTCACTTCATCAGCCTGGCGTCTTCAGCCCCCTCGGCTAAATTTATGTAGAAAAATATTTTTGGTGTAGCCCAGAGAGTCACAGAAATTATCCCAGCATAGAAATACAGTATGACCTCTGGGAATCCTTCATAGGAAAGGCAGATGGCAAGGTTATCATTTTAGCTGTGATTCACACCAACATGTCATTTCTATGGCAGTAGCCTGGGATGAAGGTCTGGCCTGCAGTCTTTGGCCGTCATCCAGGGGCAGAGAGACGCAGTAGACTGCAAAGGTCAGAGCACCTGCTACAGGCCACCTTCTGCAGATTGCCATCTCACTTGGGAGCAAGGTTATGATTAACCGCCAGACTGTCTACACATGCCCCTTAATTCAGTGACAGTCGGCTAAAGGGGCTGGTGTGCCCTTGGATCTGGTTGCATAGCCCAGGGCCAAAGAAATGTGAGAAGCTGTGTGGTTGTGAGCTAGGGGACATAAATTACTTAGTTGTTGCATTTATCTGATCTTCACTAGAGTATAAGTTTCTTTTTGTTTTAATTCAGTTATTTGTATTGTATTCACAGAGTTATACAATTATCAACATAATCTAACTTCATAATAATTTTGTTACCCCCCCCAAGAGAAACTTTCCAATATTAGCAGCCATTCCCAATCCCCCTCTTCTCCCAGGCCCTGGAAATCACTAACCTACTTTCTGTCTATGGATTTGCCTGCTCTGGACTTTTCAGATAAATGAAAGCATGCACTAGGTGACATTTTCTGTCTGTCTTCTTTCACTTAGCATCATGCTTTCAGGGTTCATCCAAATCAGGATCTGAATCAGTGTTTCTTTTGATGACCAAATTATATTCCATTGTACAAATATACTATTTTTTTGTTCGTTCATTCATTCATCAGTTGACAGGCATTTGGACTGTTCCCACTTCTTGATCATTAGGAATAAAGAAGTTTCCTTTTTGTTGGTTATATACCTAGGAGTGGAATCACCGAGTCACATGTTAACTCCATGTTGAACCTTTCGAAGAATTCCAAACTGTTTTTCAAAATAGCTACACCATTTTCCACTCCATCAGCAAAACACACGAAGTCCAGTTTCTCCTCATCTTCAACACTGACTATTTTCCATTGATTTGGTCACAGCCATCAAAGTAGATATGAAGTGGCATCTCAACATGGTTTCTATTTTCATTTCTCTAATGACCAATGAAGTTAAATATTTTTCATCTGTGTATGGGTCATTTGCATGTATATTTTTATTTTTAAAAGATTTATGTTCTTTATTTGAAAGAGTGACACAGAGATAGAGATAGAGAGAGAGAGAGAGAGAGAGGGTCCATCCACTGGTTACAAGTTTCTTGAAGGCAGGCTTTGTCCAGATTGCTCCTGTTTATCCCTCCTAGCCACCCCCCCAACACACACACAGTGCTGAGTCCCATAGACATCTACAGAGGAGTTATTGAGCAGAAGAAAACATAAATGGCTGTAAATCAGAGAATGAACAGAAACTAGAAAAATTTGTTTTACTTTTAAAAACCATGAACAAAGACAGAAAACAAGATGAGGTCAAGAAAGCTAAAGAGTGGACCGTGATTTTAAATAAGGGTGGCAGAAAAAAACTGCTTGAGTTTGAGTGTGTTACAGCATCATCCCTTGTGAACATGGATGTGGGTGTGTGTACATGCATGTTTGTGCACACACATGCACGCATGCATTCATTGGATTTCCTAACAAAGCAGGGGACATGTTCTTTACTGAATGAGTAGCTTTTGTGAATGCCATTGGATAAGTGAGTTTTAGAATTCATGGTGAACAAAATAAAGTAGTCATTTTAAAGGAAATTCCATATTGCTAAAATACTGTATTCTTTCTCTCTTTTTTTTTTTTTTTTTTTTTGACAGGCAGAGTGGACAGTGAGAGAGAGAGACAGAGAGAAAGGTCTTCCTTTGCCATTGGTTCACCCTCCAATGGCCGCCGCGGCCGGCCCGCTGTGGCCGGCGCACTGCGCTGATCCGATGGCAGGAGCCAGGTACTTATCCTGGTCTCCCATGTGGGTGCAGGGCCCAAGGACTTGGGCCATACTCCACTGCACTCCCAGGCCATAGCAGAGAGCTGGCCTGGAAGAGGGGCGACCGGGACAGAATCCGGCGCCCCGACCAGGGCTAGAACCCGGTGTGCTGGCGCTGCAAGGCAGAGGATTAGCCTAGTGAGCAGTGGCGCCGGCTTAAAACACTGTATTCCAACAGCGATCTTTTCTTTTCCAGCTATCGGTGGTAGCTATAGGAATTAACATACACAGAACATCCAATGCGGAGGCACTGCTGCAGTTTCTGGAGGATCAAAATACTTTCCCCAACTTTGAGCATCTGGCATACTGGGAAATACAATTTAACAACATAGCTGCTGTTGTAGTATTTTTTGTCTGGATTAAGGTAACTTACAAATGTCATGTTCTGGATTGTTAATGTTTTTTTCTCTCTTTGTATTACCATGAGTCACATAAAACATTGGAGGACTTGAATTTACCTTTGTAGCAAATGTGTGTCAGCTGAGCCTGGAGTCCTAGGCTACTCTTAAACAGCAGCAGGTGCAGTGTCAGCTGATAGGGGGTGACCAGATGAAGGAAAGGGAACTAGAGAGAAGGGGCGGGATCTCCTGGAGGAGAGGAAGAGATGCTGTGCTTGCTAGAAAGACGCTTCTTTCCAGGTGAGACTGAGGGGAGCTTTCCCTAGGACTGAGGTTGGGACAGACTTCTCTGGGTAGTATCTTACTCATTTCCTTCTTTTCCCAGGGCATGTTGTTGCATCCATGTGTGTGAAAGGCTGGGGCATTTGTACACAATGAGCCTCAATTCTGGAGGTGCAGGACTTTCAGTAATTCTGGGGCAGCTGCCAGCCTCTCAGCCTATTCTACAATTATGCCATTCAGACAGTAGCTGCCAGCCACCTGCAACAATTGAAATTTAAGATTACATTAAATTAAAACTTCAGTTCCCCAATCCCACCAGCCATATTTTAAGTGCTCAGTGTCCGTGTAGCAAGTGACTAATGTATTAGACAATGGAACTAGAGAACATTTCCATCAGCAGAGAGAGTTCTTTGGAGCAGTACTGTTCTAGAAAGTGCTTTCCTGACTTAATATTTGCTCCTGGAAGGCCTGAGGTTTCTGAAAGGGCCTAGACCTTATCCTGTGTCTCTCTTGTTTATCCAGCTAGGTGCTTATTCAAGAGATGCTATCACTAACACATTAAGCCTTCATCATATAATAGTAATAACAATCAAAATCTCTAATGAATAGGAATTCTGTTAAGTGATGTTGTTACAACCACACTCAAAATTTTTTCATTGTGGCCAGAGACAATTTATAAGAAAAATCTAGATGGGAATGGTTTTGTGACATAGCAGGTTAGGCTGCCGCCTGCATAGCCAGCACCCCATATTGGCACCTGTTTGAGTCCTAGCTGCTGTGCTTCTGATCCAGCTCCCTGCTAATGCCCCTGGAAAGGCAGCAGATGGTGACCCAAGTACTTAGGACACTGCACCCACATGGGAGACCTGGATGGGACTGCCGGCTTCAGCCTGGCAAAGTCCTGGCTGTCGCAGCCACTTGGACAGTGGGCCAACAGATGGAAAATCTGTTATCTCCTTCTCCCTCTGTAACTCTGCCTTTCAAATACATAAGTCTTAAAAAAAAAACTCTAGAAATTTTCATTAGGTAAAATTATGGAAATCTTTCAACATGTGACTCAGGCTGTTATGTTTAGTGTTTTGCTTGGAGGTATCTTGCCCCGGAAACTTGGCAGGTAAGTCCTTTGAGGCAGGGATTGTGACATGACTTTTAAGATCCCGTGTGCTCTTCCACCAGGATGTTTACCTAGAGCTGTGTCACATGTGACAGAATTCCATTGCTTTCCAGAGCTAAAGAAAAGTGCATTGTATGTATAGACTACATTTTGTGATTTGCTTCACATGCTGATGTCCTTCCTGTCTTTCACAGCTCTTCAAATTCATCAGTTTTAACAGGACCATGAGCCAGCTCTCCACAACCATGTCTCGGTGTGCCAAAGACCTCTTTGGTTTTGCTATTATGTTCTTCATTATTTCTTGGCATATGCTCAGTTAGCTTACCTTGTCTTTGGCACTCAGGTTGATGACTTCAGTACTTTTCAGGAGTGTATGTAAGTATCTATGGAATTAAGAAGAAAGACTTGGTCACAGATGTCACTGCTTTCTTAAGGATAAAGAAATCTTCTGGGTTGCTATTGACCACCAAGAATTTAAAAGTGGTTATTGACAATAGAAATGAATTACCTTTTCCAGAAACATTGACCCACCAGTCCAAAGACATACATTCAGAAATGCCAATGCTTAAGACAGCAGTCCCAGCGTCATACGATACAGAACATCCATACCCAACCAACAGTATTATAAAGGCCAAGGTCATCTTATTGGAGATGCAGATGGTAGCTTTGGAAAAGCCATTTGCCTATACTTTCATTCCCATTGAATATCATTGCATACATTTTGAACTTCAACTTATTTCCTAAGGGGGGGCATATTTCTAATTCCAGAAAATCAGATCACTACTGGAATTTTCAGTCTTTTTCCAAAGTTGCCAAATATAAAATTCAAAACAAAACAGAACAGAAAAATAGCCAGTCTCAGATTTCCATGCAAGTGAGAAAGCAGTTAGGAAAGGAGAAGATCATGGAAACGAAAATTGATAGAACTTTGGCACAGGGGTCCCTAGTTAATACTGTTTCATGCAAATGAGGAATGGAAATGGTTTTACTGACAAAGGCCCAAGACTAGCAACATTCAGCCACTTGAATCCCACTCCAGGTACATGTAAGAATATTGGGTCTTTGAACACATGTGATATTGTTTCTCTTGTTTTTTTTTTTTTTTCTTTAAAAGATTTTAACTTAAGATCTTTGTGAAGATTTCAGGTTATCATCTCCTCTCAAGATTAGGAAGTTTTTCAGCCAGTTGCTTTATAAGTCATTTAATGATTATATTTTCTTTTTAACCAAATGGAAATAACATATGTAATAGGAAAACATATTAAGATTCTTCCAGAAGGCTCCAATAGATGGTTTATATAGCAATAGTTCTCTAGAGGGGTTGGCTGTTCTGTTATTTGGCAGCTATCTAACTGCTAAAAAGTTCCAAAAATGTGAAATCATCTGTAAGAAGAGTTACATCAGCTGCAGGACATTCTTAGTTTTTGTGTTGTGGTGTTTTGTTTTGTTTTATAGCTTTACGCAGTTCCGTATCATTTTGGGCGATATCAACTTTGCAGAGATTGAGGAAGCTAATCGAGTTCTAGGACCACTTTATTTCACCACCTTTGTGTTCTTTATGTTCTTCATTCTTTTGGTATGTACATTTTTGTTCATCATGAAGGGATTTATCTGTTCCATGTTCATAAATCACCTCTTCTGTTTTCTCTCACATCCTACTCCATACATTTTAAATAAAGACCCAAGAAGTAGAAAAAAAGTGGATGTGAGAAAACTTGTTTTATTTTCCATTTTGTTGCTAAGCAGTGTTAAAAGTCTTTTCAGTGGGCTTTCTTTTTACCATATATGTGTCTATACAATGCAAAAACAAAAAAAATAGGTTAAGTACAAATTTATAGTTACCTGAAATTGTGCTTTTCTCAAAAGTCAGATATGCTCACATGCTTTTCTCCTTCAGCACATGTATCAGCATTTTCAGTCAGTTGCTAGCATGACTCGGCAGTTTTCTGCTTCTTCTTTTCTCTTTAGAAAACAGGAAGTAACAAAGCCAGCCGAGGTCCAGGATGTCCAGAGTAGTATTTAAGTGGATGCTTTACATGTCAAAGTGAATGTTCTAGCTTAGGCATAGTTCACACATGCAGAGACTGCCTACATAGAATATTGAAATATTAACTCTACAAACCTAACGATGAATGGAAGTTGCTTTAAAAATTATTTTATAAAAATTCTTTCGCTCTCAATTTGGTAAAAATTAACATCTTTAATGCTTTTGATCTAAGTGATTTGAGTTTTTTTAAAGGTGTTTGTTCTTTGTCTTAACATTCATATGTTCATCTGTACACTCAGGTGGTATTAAATTAAGTTACCTTAAATTAGGCAGTGATTTTCACTTATACACTCACATTTACAACTTTCTTTATGTGAACTGTCATCTGAAGAAAATAAAATTGTTTCCATTTTCAATTAATTCTCCAAAGATCATGTGTAATAGGTGAAGTAAATAATCACATTTTCAGTAATTCAGTGTCATATTACCAAAGTCAGTCCAGGTATTTTTGGTTGATGTAAGGTGTTTACTGATTATTACCTATCCTTTAATAGAAAAAGTGAAAGGGTCAGGAATATCACACGTGTCCCTTTGAGTCTTGCTGTGTGCAAGTATCATGGCTACTCTTTTTTTATAGATTGATTATTTATTTAAAAGGCAGAGTTACAGAGAGAGAAAGAGAGAGGTCTTCTATCCGCTGGTTCACTCCTCAAATGGCCACAACAGCCAGGGCTGGGCCAGACTGAAGCCAGGAGCCAGGGGCTTCCTCTGGGCCTCCCACGGGGGTGCCGGGGCCCAGGCCATCCTCCATTGCTTTCCCAGGCAGGGAAAGCAGGGAGCTGGATAGGAAGGAACTGCCAGGACTTGAACTAGTGGTTTGTGGCTGTTTTTTAAATTTAAACCTCTTATACTGAAAGAAGAAAATTGGAAAGTAAAAGCAAACCTTTGTTACTCACTAACATGGGTAGGAGTTTGGATTTCCAAGCATCCATATCTCTACCAAGAAAACCAAAACTAGGAATTTAGAGTTCTGCAACTTGACCGTTTAGCTGACCTCAGGACACCTGGTTTCACAGTATATCTGTGTGTCAACTAAGGGTTATAACTTGGCCATGTGAAATGCTCAAATTCAAAAGAAGCCGTTGGTGGGAATGGTTCAGTTGAGCCTGGAATCTCCCTCCCTTTCTCCCCCCATCAGGGAAGGACCTCCCACTGCAAATGGACTTCTGCATTAAGTGACCCCTGTGAGACAGGAAGCAGGGAGGGGCGGGGTGCACTTCCTCTCCTCATCCCCTCAGGAGCCTTTCTTAGCCAGTATCTATTTTTCAGCACCTCCTCAGGGGACCCACGCCTTAATCCATTTCTAGGAAGATATTTGCAGGCATTAGTTCACAGTCATTTGGAAACAAAAATACATTAGATGCCTGGGCTGGAAGGAAGAAACTGGAAGATGTTACTCCACCCTGCCCTGATAAATATCCACCCCTGGAATTGAATTTTTATCCAGGAACTCATATGTGTTCTACATTCTCTTCTCACTTAATCTATAGAATCTTATAATTCCATAGAATCTGTTAGATAGGAAGTCA